GCGCACTTTGAAAGCGATGATAACCAATCCTGTCTTCCTTCGATTCCTTCATTTACCAACCCGCACTGACCAGCGTGGTGAAGTATGCTAAAAAAACAACATGATCGACATTGTGTTGAGGCGTGGTGAATAGAGAAATTGCTGTAAATCTATCTTGCGAATGCATTTTCATTTGCAAGGAGATTGGTTTATCAAGATGTATGTCAAATGCTAAATTGGCAATGTCTATCGACGAACATTTGCAATGTGTCAGAATATGAACCAGTTATACAAAAATCTGTTCCCATATACGCACTGTACAACTAACTCTGTTGCTTGTTTTTAGCTTACTCGTGCGAATGTCCCAAATTAAACACTCGTGCCGATTAAACTAAGTCAGTGTTACAGGGAAATGTCTACTTATTGCTAAGCACAGGGGGCGACTGCTGACACTGCTTCATTTGGGTTCCCCGACGTTATAAGAGAGATGAGGACTGTATAATGAACACGGACTTATGTTAATAACCTTGCTCTTACGAGAGTGTTATGCGACTCTAGAGAAACATTTCTATTAAGGGGAATGTTCATCTTTACAACTTAAGATGTTTTCAATGTTTCATTTGATTACTGAAAGTTGGGTAAATTAAAAGTTCCGTGGTTTGTCATGTCGATATTTTGTGTGTCGCATCCTATTTGTTAGAGGTCTACTGCCTATTTGCGACACTTCCGTTTTTAGGTGGAAATATTATCCTATACATATAGAGTACATAACATTTTTTGCTGAATTTGGATAGTCATTTAATTATTTATCCAGGAAAGCCACTAGACATTAGACATTTCTTTATGAGGGTCCTGCTACATTGGGTTCATATTTTAAGATGTGGTCAGCCAATGAATGATGAGTTGTGTTTATTATACAAGTGGGAGGAAACCGGAGCCCCTGGAAAAACTCACGTGCGCGAGGGGGCAACACTCTATCCCCACACAGACGGAAACAGATGTTGACGAGTCCACACAGATGGAAACAGATGTTGAGGAGTCCACTTGCCGTATTGCTTTCTCCTGGCGAGCCAGGGTTATGGCACCTCGACGCACACAACAAGGGAGTTTCACAACATTCACGCGGTTATCCATCAACCCTCCATAGTGTTACGTTCCAGGCCACGTGCGTAACCGCCACCACCGCCCGGCTAAGAGTAATGGTTGAACGCTTTTGATCAGAACTGAAATACAGTAGCTAAATAATGCAACGATTTAACATAATGTACAAGATTGCAAACTTTTGCAAGTTTGTAAAGAAACAGAGGTTGGGGGGGGGGGGTCCGGAATAGCTTAAACTGCTTCACACGGACTCGAAAAGCATCGTGCTAATTAGTAAACCGTAGTGTTGTTTGTACCCCGCATGTGCTGAGCAAGGGACAGCCTACTGAGTGCATTCATTTACGTTTCTCGGTTAGAATTCAGCTGATACATAACAAGATAAATACATATTTAAATAAATATTTAATTTCTAAATGTGCTTGCGAAAAGGCAAATTTCACGTTTTACATTAAGTTGGACCCTTTATGCAGCTATTCAATGATTTTACGATTTTTTGTTTAAAGTCAAACATAACAAATAGCTCAATCTGGATGCTTGTAGTGGATTAACGAAGTAATTTTAGAGCCCTGCGTTATAAACCCAACAATCTGCATCCCGGCCATAGCTTAACGTCAGTGGGGAGTGAGATCTTCTCAACCGATCTGGGTCTCCCCAACCCCCTCCACGTAGCTGCATTGATCACCAAGTGAAGTGTGGTCAAAGCAACCCCCCCCCCCCCATAACGTACGCAACATAGGGAGGCTCTCATTTAGCAGTAGATCTACATTGCACAGTGAATGTTGTCAACCACCATCTATTCCAGAAAATCCATGCCAAACATGATTGCATCGACCCACACCGGGATAACTCAATGTTATAATTTCACTGAATCATAACCAAGTCGAATGCCAATGTGGGTTTTCTCTATTCAGATGAGCACGGAACAGAGCTCAACTCATGGGTACAGTCCCGAGCCAGTGGTGAAAAATCCATATTTCCCATTGTCAGGGTTAAGTCCATCGGGGTAAGTTAATCATTAGGACCGCTGACTTTTCACGAAGTGGTACTCTTTTTGTTTGACCCTGGGGTGGATGCTTAGTTGAGGTTACTCCTGACTGAGACTTTGACTTCCAGGCCTTCCGTTTGCAAGCCTTATACTCGAACCACTTTGTCGTATAGCCAAATTGAAATTACACCAAAACATTCTACATGTCATACAGAATATACACCTACAATTGTCAATAATTACAAAAAGCATCCGTAGTTAGATATCATCAGAGTCAGGAATATACCATTATTTTACTAATGATGTGTTAAAGATTATTCCCTTTACCATTTGTTTAGCGAATTCTATAAACATGTAGATTTAATTTTTAAATTGAATTTCAAACAATATGTTAAGATATAGTTTTTTTATAGGGTAAATACATTGATTTAAAGTAATACAGGCAACCACCGAATTGTTATTTGCAGTTGTGAATAAATGTAACCGAAAGGATCATAACATACGCTCCTGTCAAAAGATAAAAAAAAATCCTTTATATTGAGAAAAGTTAAGTCAACTATTACAATGTTTCTCAGGTGTAGCCTTTTATGTAAGATACCTTGAATGCGAATTCTTAACTAAGAAATCATTGTTTCTATAATATTGCATTTTTTTTTGCAATAATACTCTTAATTTTACCAGGAAAGCACTACTGAATCTACGGACCATTTTTTTTTTAATTCGTGAGTGTTCTGCATTGGGATGTTTGTCCAATTCGATTACCGAGTATGAGATGAAACTAGAGTACTAGGGAAAAAAACCACGTACATTCATATAAAATGGGCAACGCTCCATACAGATGGATTCAATGCACTTGCAATACTGAAATTTCCTGGCAACTTTGTGGCCCAGCATGGTGGGCAGTTTTAGTTGTGTTGTTTAGTGATATAGCAACCCCTCACGTCAAAACCTTAATACATTCTATACGAGTCCAAGATATAATGTTGGACAGATCGCATGCAAGTTAGCTGTAGACGTATTATAAGGATTTCAATGAAAAATGTCATCACTGTTTTAATAAGGCAATCATATACATGCCTTCTGGAAGCCTAAATGTGAAGTTCACTAAGGAGTTTATTTATTTATAAAATCCATACACTATGGTTATTTGTTCTTTTCTGTGATAATTTATTTGTAGTATAGTTATGTTTTGTTAATTTTCAGAGTTGTTATTGTTTTAAATTCACAATACGGGGTCTGCACATTGTCATATTGCACCAGTTATAACAACCGCACTCCAATTGCCTCGGTCCACCAGACCTGCCACGGGGAATTTTAAAACCACATTACAGATTTTCTCACTGGGTCGAAATATAACCTAGTAATGGTTTTGTTTACAAGAAGAGATAAGATTTTGCTCCCTCCTCATCCATGCACAGCAGTGACCAAAAATGCATTAAATTAAGGCTGCGTATGTGCAATTCTCTTTGGGAGATGTTTCGTCAAGAGTTATTACCTTTGATTTATTGAAGCTTTACCTTGAAATTTGTTTACATTTTACTCAAGTCCACTCGGAAATGAATTGCACATTTTAGATTGCAAAGAGAGGCTCTACCCTACACAGGAGAGGCAGTCAAAAGGGGCTTGAAAGATGAACACTTAAAATATGCACCCTCAATAGCGGGTTTTTTGTGCAATATAATAACGCTTTAACATTAATTTTGAAAGGCTGCATGAAAACCTCGTGGAGTGTTTTTTTTAGTTTGTGCTATTCTATGACATGATAAGTGCATAATCATGGTACTTCAACATCGAGCTTTGCATTACGGCAAATTGAATATAATTTTTTTTCGATTAAATGTTGCACATTATATTCTTGGGTCTTACCGAAAGACCCAAGAATATGAATTCCTGCAGTCACGAAAGCTTTAAGTCAAGATTTAAATGTTGCACGTTTCATTTGTGTTTATCCAAAAATATCCTTGTATGTGGTAAATAACAAAGCCCCATTTTTTGATTTAAAGCTTTCGTGACTGCAGGGATTCATCTTCTTGGTTTTTCGGTAAAGTCACGTGACTTTACCGAAAGAACCAAGAAGATGAACATAGCCCCACACAAGCACTTTGTAAATTTTAAAATAAAAAATGCTGAAAAGAGAGTAAACCAATTTGCACAACAACCCATGGTTACCTGATTATGGGGCAATACGTCTAATAGTCAAAGACTTATAGGTAGTCATGATTGTGCCAACTCGTAATCCATCGCTCCAGTGAATGTTGGGTACATACTCCAATACTGTGGTCATACTCCCATTGATGCTACACATCACGTACAGAAATGGCATTGCACACATTTCCGACAATGTGTTAGATTGACAGCCACTGATGCTGGACAATGTGACAGCCAGATGGCACCCTGTCCTGCTCCACCTTATTATTTGCTCCCATGTGCTTTCCTTGCTGATGTGAAAGACCAAAACCCATAAGAGATCCCTGGTTTTGATCATCCACAAAGCTCATGGTCCACTCTACACAGCATCGACACAAACCATGGCATACGCGGATACCTGATACACACATGGAAAATTAGAAACTCTCCAATGTGCGACTGTGGTCATCCAGAACAGACCATACAACATTTAACAACGCAATGCCCAATCCACAAATACGAAGGATATATTACAGGGATACACTCCGTTGCTCCGGACTCGGTTATCTGGCTTGATCACCTGAATGTGAAATCGTAGTTGTTACTTTGCATCTACATCAGTCATACAAAAGAAGAAGAAGCTGATGGAACAGCCTGTTATTAAGCACACGCCTTCGTGTCGTTGGCTTAGTCCCAGCAGGAGATTATTTTGCATTAAAATTAACGAGCCTGGGCAAAGCGTGCAAGTGCCATAAATAATGAGAAGAGACTGATAGCAATCACTCAACACCTCATGAACGAAACCAAGTCATTTATATGTTGTTTACTGTAAGATGAAATTTAAACACATTGCACAGCAACATTTTAAAACTCAAGGTAAGTCTCAGCGGTTCCAATGGTGAGCCATTTGTTGGTCGGGGCAGAAACTTCAATCGCCAGGGCTATTTCTGTCATTCGGAAAAAAAAAGAGTTCTCAGACCTGGATCTGACACACGCGTGAATGGCAACAGACCATGAGTGACAAGTTCAACCATGGACATGTGCCGTGACCTGAAGGGGATGAGGAATGCTGCTGAGGCGGACCTACTCGGGGCACCAAGGCTGGTCGATGAATAATGCATTGCTCAGTCTTGATTTGAAGCTTTCGTGACTGCAGGAATCCATACTCTTTGGGTTCTTTCGGTAAAGTCACGTAGGTAGAACATTTTTAATAAAACCAAAAAATATTATCGCGACGTTTCGATCGCAACACAAGCGGTCGTGCTCAGGCAGAAACAAATATATAATAACGTAAAAAGTGTTTTATTATATTTTATTTTTTATACCTATGTGACTTTACCGAAAGAACCAAAGAGTAGAGAATGCATTGCTCACCGAGTGTCTGAAAATCAACTTGCCTGCCCTACCACAAGCCAAACATTACGACCGTGTATCGCCGCAGTTAGCCAGTTGAGATGTCTTGGAAAATAATATCGCCAAGGGAATGTGCTGTTGTTGTTGTTATGTACAGTTGTATTTTTGGATGTGTGCGTGCATGTTCATGGGGAGCAGTACAAATGTTTTGAGAATGGGATATTGTCTCACCACAGACTTGTTTTATTTCACTATCTTTAAATTACATCTCATTTTTAAAATTGCTTCGACTGCCCCCCTAGGTGTCCTATATGTGTATATATATATATAATTGCATGACACTCTGCAAATTAATTAGCATTAACTTCATTAATCTAGCTTTGTAAATAATAAAATATATAAATGCAAGGGCATTTGCTATATAAATAAACAGTTTTAACTATACATAGACCTTTACAAAGTTGTTTGGCATGTATTGGTCGAAAAAGAGGCATTGATTAGAACACTGTAAATGTTAATACGACCAACAAGTGAACACAATGTGGCTGATTTTTTACAAAAGGATGTAATGGCCAAGTGGTAACATGAACACTTGTTGATAATTAAAACACAGATAGAATGCCCGAGATTACTCTTTGTAAAACAATAGCAGTTTTAAATAAATAAATGCATGATATTTCGGTCATTTTTAATTTCAAAAATCAAATCGCAAAATACGGCAATTAAATCTGACGATTAGTAAGTGTATACTTTTAAAGTTTCACAACAGCCACAGTAAATTTCGATACGTCTGGTATACCAGACATGGCAACTTATTACCTCTCAAGGAAGTTCCAACGCTCAATAATGCAAAAGATTGACGAGTAATTATGATGAATACTTACACAATCACAGTGGTAACAGTAATACAGGATTTTTTTTATTATTATTCTGCGTGTCCAGTTGGTTAAGCTCTGCTCAATGAGGCTGCTTCCACATACAGTATCGTATACACCTTAAAATGTCCAAATAATAATCATACCTTTTTAAATACTATCTTTGGGAAATGGTTTACCATTTAACATATATGGCAGATTAACCAAACAAATATTGTCGCTTTGATTAAAAGGAATAAACTACTCTGACACTGGTTCACATTTACGATCAAAACTTAATATTTACAAATTGTACAATACTATGTGTCTATATTCACAATAAGAAAGTCAAGAATAAAGCAGATGCGCGGCGCTACGGGGCGGATGGGAGGTCATCCTGATGGGTAGTACGGGGTGTCGCTGTGGTAATTGTAGTCGGGACACACCTTCTGCACCAGCTTGTAGTCCGTGCTGTAAAAAACGATGTAGATGCAGATGACCTTAAAGGGCTTGGAGCAGAGCCAGGACACGTGGCTCTGGATCTGCTCCTGGGAGCAGCTCTTGGACGGGTCGTAATTGCAGGGCACATTCTTCTTAGCACGGTCCACCTTCTCGTACTCTATCCGACAGTTGAAGGTCTTGGAGTCTTTGGCTTCGATCACAGACTGCTGCGGGGGATCGAATTCGACCGCCTTGGTGGGCGGCACGAGGCTCACGGACACGTTTCCCTGGCCGGTCGAGTTGTGCCGAAAGTACACGCTGAACGTGCCGTTGCCATGGTCAACAATCTTGCCCGTGATGAGGAGGTTGAGCTTCAGCGTTTTGATGTTGGAGTGAAAGTCTCCCCAGCCGAACATCTTCTTGAACTTCCCCGTTTTGACAATGGGCCTCCGTTTCGTCCTCGAGTGTGGCAGAAAGTGCCCCTTGCGGTGGGAGCCGTGCAGCCACGAGAGGCCCGATGGGGCGACGATAGCCGCGGTCTCCCCCGAGCCGTTGCCTTCGACGAGCAGCTGAGATTTGGAGAGGAGCCGAGTCAATTTGGTGATGACCACCGACGTAGAAATGTTGGATTCAAAGCGCTGTCCCTCGACGTCATTTGATCCAGGTTTTGCAGACGAGAGGTTTCGGGTGCATATCATCTGAGGGTATAAATGACACGGGGCAACAATATTCTTACACGCATGTGAGCACGTGTTACACATTGGTGGCGAATGCATCACACTTACACCGATGCCGACACTGTTCTATTCCTGCATAGGATTTCGCGGGTTGCCGCTGCATTAGCTCTTCAAAATGTGTTTTCATGTTTGTTCCGCGCGGGGAGTTCCGCGTGCTGTTTTGCGCCACATGTTGGACGCTTCTTCAGGAACTGCATATTCAGTTCCTGAAGAATGTTGAAGGAGGTGGCAGCACGTGGAACAAAACGTCGAGGCATCATGCCCAACAGCGAGCAGGTACAGCCCAAAAAGCATGATCGGAGAACAAATTCGTTAAACTATGAGACGAAAAAAACTACAGCCAGACCACTAGATATACATCTGTCTGATCTGCTGGAATGGGTTCACTTATAGAAACGCACCACGGGGATGATTTTACGTTTCATCGTATATATATGCAGCATGGACAATGTTAATAACTGAACGTGCCGTTAGAAAGCAGTCGTAATATTGTTATGATTGGATTGAAGATTAATCTTGAGAAGATGTACATGGTATAGAATGAGTGCAACTGGCAATTGGTGTTCTGTGTTAAAGACTGGTTTTAGGTGTTGGATTTGCACCCTAGATTTTATTACCCCGTTCTTGCAGCACGTGCATCTTTGCCAAACACGTAAAATAAAGTTGCATAACTTGATGTGCAACGATTGACCTTGAATGCATGTTACCCTACAATTGTTTCATTAATTAACTGAATCTGTAAAATACATGCTACGTGGGGGCATGCAATCTTGGCCATTATGTCAAATATATTGCAACTGTAATGAGAGCAAAAATAAAATACTGAATGGCCACCCGATTTATTTCTCGACATTTGATCATCTTGATGTAAACATAACAAAACGGGTTTCAAATATACACGTGAGCACCGATACACTTTATTACACCCATCATTTGATACTTGAGTGCACGTAAAAAACACAAATCTTACAGAGTAATCTTTGAAATATACACGTTAAATTAATCCAGTGCTTTGGTAAGTAAGCTTTCCTTTAACGTTGCCGCCTCTTTTTATATTTTCCTATCGATCACAACAAGAGCAAAAAAGATAAGCATCCTTGTTCAATAATACATGCCGCAGTCCCATCTATCACGGGGAGATCTGAATATACGAGTTATGTATCATATTTTCCTCTCTCGCTCCCTCTCCAAAACGGAGAAAGCGCCATAAAACAAGCTTCTCCCTAAAGGCTTGCCAAAGAGTTGCAATAAATCCACGAAGCAAGCGACAGGGCCAGTCGTGGCGGGCATCAATCGTGGGTGCGAATGGGATGAGATCCTAGGCGGGCGGTGACCCTGGACCCGGAGGTCACGAACGGAGCGGCCGTCCATCAGAGAGGCGAGGGTCTGCCGGCGTGCCGTGAGATACCTCGACACCGGCTTAGGAGCTCGTTATTCATCGGCACGGTCCAGCCTGCTTAGTCCATTTGGTGATCCACCGGGGTGGTCCGCCTGACGCTCGGCGATGGCATTTAACGTCAGAAGTCATCCGCGTGCTCTCGCTCTCCGACTCTCTTGGACTCTCTCCGTCTATCCCTGGCTCTGCGTCTCTCTCTCTGCCTCTCTCTGTCTCTGCGTCTCTATGTATGATACATAAGCACCTGAAGGACCATTTTGTCAGTTTGAGTGCATGACTGAGACGCACCGATTTTAGTGATTTTTGGCATTGCAAGCGACGAGACGTTGGCACGTTTTTGTACAAAAAAAATCTGATGGGGGAAAAAAAATGCTACATTCTCCAACACGCGAAGCTCGCTCCGTGTCTTTCAAGTTGCCCTTACGCAGTTTTTTTTTACCTAAGTAAACCACACGACCCATTTATAAAGAAGCGTGACTTTAATTTTGTAAGCCGTTTTAACTCGTGCAAGTCGATTAACCTCCACAGGGATCTGCCTCAGGTGTCACGTAGCGCATCTGGTTTGGCATGATATGGATTCGCTCCCCTCCCTATCTGTACGACTCGTGGTGCATCAATGCTGGGGTTGAAAAAGAGAATTCCAAAATTGCTATGGATTTAGCCCCCCCCCCCCACCCCTTTTTAAGTTAAAACACAACGATTGTACATTAAAGAATGTAATCTACAGCGCCGTGTGCGCCTATTGGCCCGCGCGCCTCGCTTTTGCCGCTCCAGTCAGGCTACACGCGTCTCCACTCGGAACACATTCCCCGACATCGCTCTCAGAAACGTTGCCTTCAAATGCAAAACAAGAGCGCATTTAATAATTCGCCTTAATGCCCCTCCGATACGGCGCTAAAAACGTCCGCGGCGCATACACGCGCCCCTTACTCCGCACATGATCGCAGGCGCGTGTCTCTTTACAAAAACAAAGAGAGAGAACGCGCGTGTGCTTTGCCACGAGCTGCCGTATGCACGCGCGCGTGCTTTGCCACGAGCTGCCGTATGAACGCGCGCGTGCTTTGCCACGAGCTGCCGTATGCACGCGCCCGCGCGCGCGCGCGGTCATCGACACACGGGCGATGTTCGCATCTTGCATGTCGCGGGACGAGTCGCGGCAAACCGCAGAGTTCGACTTTGCGAGTCGCATTTACGCGACTCGGGGGAACTAAAAGGCGCAACGGTGCCCGCGTGCCGTCGAGAGCTTTTTGCGCTTATGAAGGCGGACGACGCGTGCAACGAGGTGCGCGCGCGTGTCCTCCCGACAGTAAACAAAACGGGAAGACTGGATCCGCTTGAAGCCTTAACAATTTTCCCCCCCGAGCAAATGTAAACTCTTTCGCGCAGCGCCGCGACCAGCAAAGACGTCGCACCGTCCCCGCGTGTGTTGCCCGCCAAGCGCGTAGCTCGCGTTCGCGTGCGTCAAATCGAATACTTCTTATAGCCAGCGCTAATGCTAAATCGATACGGGATCTGGCTTAAGCGGAGGATTTGGCCACACCGAGGAATAACGGCGAGTGTCCCACGCGGGCACTCGCAACGCAGCGCAAGTACTTACAGGATGCAGGCTGCAGTGCAGGAGGATGGTGATGTAGCAGTAGATCGGCCGGGTCATCTTCACTCACTTTTCAGGGGAAATCCCCCACGTCCCAGCGCTGCGTGTGTCCCAGCTGTGGAGGAGCCGCGCGTGTGTTCGGACATGAGCGAGCGAGCATGAAACGGGAACTCGAGCACAATCGAGGAGATGCGCGTAAAAAGGAGAGAGGAGGGAGAGGGGAAAAAAAAGCCTCAAACTTATAGATGAGAAAAGAGATTAAAAGCCAGATAATCTGGCAAAACAGCAAAGCAATCTCATCATACTGTCGCTGCCAGGGTGCGGCGGGTTCCCGATTAAATCTGATCAACGGGGGTAATGAAGTCTTCTCTTCACCCGAGTCTCAAAGCAGAGACTTCTCGTAGCACCGCGCTCCTATAGACCATGATCAGCTGTGCGCGGGATGGAAATGTTGGATGGGGAGCGGGGAGAGGATTACATATTCATTGCGCCTTCACATCCCTCTTAAGAGCGCGCCGTCAAAACGCCGCTGCAACCACGCAACTGTTTCAATTCAGCTCGCCCAGGGTAACCATGATCGACGCCGCCGTGATGGGTACTTGAATCGACGCCGCTGTTGTTTTAACCAGGACAACTGGTTTGGGGCGCACGTGGCTTTTTAGAGGCTGAATATGAGGTGACGTCAGCCCTTTTCGCGGGGATCCGTGCGTTGAGCAATCCATTACAACACACACACACAAAGTTACAAGGACGTCATGTGCCGAAATAAGGCGTGCATTTCGCGTCTGCTCGTCGTTTTTCGGTGTATTTTTTGCTGCATTAAATACACCCCCCCCCCGCAATTGCGCGTGGCCATGGTTATTTAGCAATCGGACATCGAGACGCATTTGCTTCGTGCCGTTGTTGTGGAATATTATTTGACTGGCGCTGTGGAGTTTGTTTGTTTTTGCGCACGCGTTAAGCACTAATAATTTAATGATGACCAAGTTGGCAGCAGACGTTGAACCGTGGGGAGCAACGTCCTAAAACCGATGAGCAATGTGTTAACACCAGGAGAATGTTATATTGACAAGAATACACGGACATCGACGCCACTTCCAGTTTTTTTTAATAACAACAATATTTACAGTTCAACATCAGAGGCGTCGCACACGAGTTCAAGTTTGCTGACATTCACTTTTGATTCGTATACATTTTTTTTGTAAAGTGGGATAACAGTTTATTTTCTCCTCCTTTACATTTCTTCTTAAAGCACCATCCATCCCTTGTCATTATCTCTCTGCTGCAGTCAATCTCTCGGGTTATTCGCACAAACATCTCGCAGCGTCATCCTTCGCACGCGCGTTTCAAACAGCGTAACGTTCCCCTGGACATCAATGCGAATTGGAGTATTGCGATGCAAGCGCGTGCTAAAGTGATCATACAATCACCGAGAACATTACAACATATTCCAGTTTTTTTTAAAGGTCTCTCGCAACGTTAAATGTTACAGAGAAGTCGTTTCGTCGCTTCGCGCGCGCACGGCAGAACGCTTTGTCAAAGCGCCACCACGCGGCTGTCCAGGAAACGGTAGGCGATCTTTTTTTCTTTCTTAACCTCACCAAAGTTATTATTCTAGATACATGTTGGGTGTAGGAATATATATTCTTCGCTGTATATTATGTGCCTCATTGCGGAAGAAAATGAAAAAAAAGTTTTAAGACAATTTCACCATTTCCGCAGAACGCTCTTCCGCCCAAGCCGCTGTCATTTTGACGACGCTTTTGTCGCCTATTAAACTAATAATGGGCTCAATTGAGAGCATCGGGTACGAAATGTCGTTTCTCGTTGCTTTTCTACGTCAGGCTAACGATGGAACGGTGTAGTGTTTTGAAAAGACTAATGATCCGTCAGTTTTGTAATGGGATTTTCATTTTTTTTTTCATTTGACATTCATAGTTTTAGTCGAGGGCTGATCTGTCTCTTTTTTTCTTCCCGCGGGACATCGCTCCTGTAAGGCAACACACAGCGCAATGACGCGCGCGCACAGACACGCGGGCGTTCATTTGGTTTAATTATCCATAGCAAAACAATGCGATGGCCATTGACTCCACTTCGGCAACACTTCTGCGAGCCGGGATAAAATATGGAATTGGCAGAAAGTTATCGGCCAAAGGAGGCTCGCCTGCAATGGAGCGCCACTAAAATGCGCATTTTCACCTCTTCAGGAAAAGCCAACGCTCGATTTACGTTCTCGCGACGACCGGCACGGTTGACGCACTGGGATTGATGGTCGATTGAAGTAGGAATGTCTAATGTGTAACAACTCCCCCACCGGTTGGGGAGTATAGGTACTCCGTATGAAGCATTTGCACGATGTATATGGAAGCGAGCGTGAATGACTATAGATTATCTGATGTCGTGGTCAAGCGCATCGTTTTGCTCCGGGTCAATAATTACACGACGATTGTACCTTGCAAGCGACTGTCCCCGTTACGGATATTAATAACCGGCTGTCAAGATGAATTCGCCAGCTAGGGAATTACCACGAATCCCTGCGTTTGTTGCGAGGTGTCACACAGCAGTCTTTCTTAAGGACCGGGGAAAGTGGCTTCGTCTTACCGATGGGGGTCGGTCCCTACATCCCCGATGGGGGCACGTGTGGCGTGAGGTGCACGGTGCGAGGTGAGAGCATGAGTGATGCGTTGACTCTCTCGAAGCAGTTAATGCGCAGAGGTGGCTCTCGGCGCCGGCTTTACGACCGGAGCAAGTTGCTACGTCGCTTGGCAGCTGGCTGTGTGTGGCGGGCGGCCGCGTGATTTACCCTCTTCCAATGCGCGTTGTTAAAACCATGGCCTGGGAGGAGGGTTTTCATTGCCCATGTATGTTTAAAATGAAAGAAGAAAAAACAACACACACACAGAGAGTGGCTAATTTGCATCTATGTGGGCTCACCTGTTGCCATATTTGTGAAAATTTGTCATGAACTCGCTCCAGTAGGGCACTATGCGCACTGCGTCTTCGCCGGAATCTCTGAAACACACGGGGGAGGAAACTTGATTTGAACACAGGGGAGGGTCGGGGGTGTTCAGCCATTAGCGGCCGATTCCACGCCACGTGGACCTGATGGGCATGCGAACCATCTCTTCATATCAATCAATCGCCTCCATGTATTGCATTTCCTAGCACTTCAGCATGAGGTGGTGAGCAATGCACTCATGTACTTGGCGTCTTCCACACACAGAAATTCTTGCCGTGTTGAATTTGCTGTCCTTCCCCCGCACCTCAGATTAGCACCGTTGGGTACATCAATTTGCGCGTCTTGAACGCTATTGTGACTCACGTAAATCTCAATTTTTTTTTTTACCAAATTGGGTTTAGGGGGTGGTATGGTAGGCTAATTTAAATTGTCTAATTCAGCCCACGGGTTTCTTGTGTTATAGCTCATAAACCTCTTAGCATCAGCCTGCATATGATGGGTTGCCCTTCATGACAGAAGACGAAATGATTCATACGCTATTAGGTGATCAACTCGAACGCGTGTTTTTTTCACTGATTTGTCATTAGTCGCAGTGGAGGTTTTGGACTGGTTCTAACTGACAAGGACAAATATTTACTCATCATGCAGACAACATTCATAATTATCATTCACAGTCATTTGTCAATGCACTCTCTGGTGAAGACCTCACTCAGCGGGTCCTGGATCGGTTCAAATATTGCTCGCCATTTACGTTCACCGTGGCCGGGAATAGAACTCATAACCGGGTTCGTAGCGCAGTGCGCAAACCATCGCTGGATGTGAATTTTGCGCATTTGTTGACGCCTGGTTTAATTTTTTTTTCTTTCACGGAATGGCTGCTGTGACCAAGAATGAAATGCATCATTAAGTAGTCCACAGGAACAAAACAAAGGATATAAAATAAAACAAAAAAATAAAAAGATTGTTTTGAGATGCAGCCAAAGTGACGAAACAAGTCACGATGTTACAACTGAAGCGATTTCAAAACCGAGGCAAACGCCACGTATAGGTATTATAAATAGGCTATATGGCAATATAAACAACTGGCAGAAATACTGGCTGTGTCATACGTAAATCACGTACACAGCACCAGCCATACATTTCAAGGCCACTGTAGGTTATGTTGCCTTTTTTTTGTCCAGATGTTGTGGCTATACGTGCGTTTGTCTGATCATGTGTGCATATCCTTACATGGAATGTGGTCCATTGGTGGGATGTATTATGGATATTTTTATACTATTTTAAAACCATATATGTGGACCTAATACGATTGTCCGTAAATGGTTGAGGTTAGGGTTAATAAAGGCAGCGAAGCAGATCCATGGCTGGAGTCCCCAAGTATCGGAGTGCATATTCTTAGGTTTTTTCGGTAAAGTCACGTAGGTAAAAACATTAAAAAGTAAAATAAAATAAAAATAAAAATCACGACGTTTCGGAGGCAACGCAAGCTTCCGTCTTCAGGTGGTATCAAACGATACAGCTGTCGTGGCTGTGACGGTACCACCTGAAGACGGAAGCTTGCGTTGCCTCCGAAACGTCGTGATTTTTATTTTTATTTTACTTTTTAATGTTTTTACCTACGTAACTTTACCGAAAAAAACCTAAGAATATGAATCCTTGCAGTCACGAAAAAAGCTTCAAATCTAGAATATCGGAGTGCAGTTTCGTTTCTTACACGTGGCCATATGTACGCCGCCTGAGTGGGCTGCGGCGTATGGCGTTTCCACCTGTTCGTTGAGCTTTTTGTTCACCGACAAACTGATTTCTAATTACCTGCAACGGAATGCAGAGAGGAGCTACGCATTTGGATGTTGTCGCGGTTGTGGTCGATGGTGAGTGCCCTACCCCCCGCCACTTTTTTTTTAAAGATTGCTTTATATACATTTACGTGGTAAGAACAGAGAAGCGACTTCGTGAATAATACATAAACGACCTCGGCAAGCCAAGTAATTCAATTAGTGGGCGATATATTTGTAATATGTATGGATATAGACATAGATGCCGCTCTTAAACGATGCTAAACATATCTTTGCTAAATGACTAGCAGTCTTCTGTTAAGGCTATTTCAAGAGGGGTTTTTTTATTCTCAGAGCATACAAAATCTGACGACCCATAAAAAAAAAACCTCAATATCAATACAGTCGAGCTACCAATCTAGATCTTAAGTTTTCGTGACTGCAATGATCCATAGTCGAGCTACTGTTTTATACAGAGTACCGTATACGCACTTTAAGAACATAGCGTCGTTCCAAAGCCAAATTTGATGCTGCTCTCTCGCAGTTCATTTCAAGAGCGCCGATGCTCCGGTCTAATTAGTAATCTAAATTGTTGCTTTAGCATGGGGGACCATTCTTCAGTCGATGTGTGAATTGGGTAATAATGCACGTGTCTGTAAATTGATACAAGCAATAAACCTGCTTCGCGTGAGAAATGGAGGCGAGCAGCCCCCTTGGCTAATGGCTCGCGCCACGAACGCAGCAGCTGCCTGACTCCAGTGGCCGGTTTCATGAACCCACCTAAAGTGAAAATGCCTTCTTTGCATTGCGCTGACTTATGTAGGATTCTACAGAAGGAAATCTCACGCAGGGAGTTTTATTCCACCGGCCAGAAAATACGTATTTCCTCCTTACAGTCCAGCGATTATTGTCGAGTAACGTGCACCACTTTACTTAGATAACAAACCGATAGGGAACAACGCACTTAATTTGTGTTATGCAATCGAGACACGGGTTTCGATGCATCATCATCATATCAACGTATTGAGCAGAACAAACAGCACCGACGACCGACATTGCAAAGCGGAAGCTGGACCCGTCACGCGTTTGCGATCGCGCAAATCATACGGATGTTGTTGTTTTTTATTTATTTATTTGGAAGAGGCCCTTGGAATGGACACGTAAATGTCAACCGCACCGTGTATGAGGCAGGGCGCGGTGGCCACGGCTCCGTTGGCAGCATGAGATGACCCTCCCATGGGGGCAAAGGTCGCGTGATGCTCGCATCCCAGCGGGACCTCGCGTCTTCGTCTCTGCTCGGCACGAGCGCTCGCGTCGCACGGACGGTCCCAGCACGGACTCCCTGATCCAGCAGGTGATGTGCAGCTGGGTGTGTACCTGTCAAACGAAGGCGTGCATTTGTACGCCCATCAATCTGCTGCTCGTCCTCCATCAGTACAAGCTGGAATGATTATTGTGTTTTATTCGTGTAAACGACACGCTGTGCTTGTGCGTGCATCTAAATCTGGGACACTAGTCGATACCAGACCGGCCTTGAATAATATTAATCTATTCAAAAAGGCATTGTGTCCCGTTGGGCAAAATTAATCACGTGAAAGCTATCCCCTCCACATGAATTTAAACATGACGCTAAATATTAAAATATTATTTTCATTTTAGTTGGATGGTTAAACTGGCCAGTGTTCTATCAAAGCACGCACGGAATGAACTTGTTAATGCAAATTATCATTACAGGAAATCCCCCCACCTCAAATCATGTCTCTCTCAGGATGATCTTACATTGGCGTGCTTGGCCAGCGCCATTAACGAGTTGTATGGCACGTGGGAGAAAACCGATTAGCTCGGTTGGCTACGTACGGTGCGAAAGAATGCTAACATACGTCCATACAACCCGCAGTATACCAGGGAGACAATCCACCATGCGTACTCGGGCGAACACTCAGCACTTCCGTCGTCTGGCCACCACACAGCCTCATGCCTACAACAAACGGAAACCCCTGGTGCCTAAACCCAAGCTCAACCCAAACTCGATGCTGAGGTCCGATGAGTTTGGGCACATTGGGTGTGATTTGGCATTGGCCCATTTTTTTCCTGGACAGATTGTTAATCATTTTAAAGTACTTATTGAAAATAATTTTAGCTTCATGAAATATGTCAACTTTCGGAAATGTACGTTGTTATGTTCTCATTTAAAATATATTATGTATCCTACTCCGATCGTTTTAGTGTAAATTGTATCCATCATAGCTTTTATTGTCTCGATATTGCAATCTTTGCTATGGTTGGCCAATTTTCTTAGAGCGTCTCATTCAAAAGGAGTTTGTCATTGAGCACTCAGTAAAAATAAATTACATTTCATGTACAATATTCATTCACGTAGAATAGAACTCGGATCCCTACACTTTACACCAGCCAAAACAAAACGGGACATGGTAAAACATTTAGGAAATAACCCAAGTGTATTGAGTTGTATGGCGTACGTTACGTTTAATAAATCATATAATGGATGCGCTACTTTAATTCAATTTCATTTCTTTGCCTGTCTTCATGGGTGACCTCGGCAGTAGCCATTTTCACGATAAGCCTTTGTCTGTGATCACACATTGTCACATGCGGTGCAAGTGTTTAACCGTTTACATTTTTTTTAAAAAGGGAAGCATAGTATGCTATTCAGCATCGCCGTTTTATACGCGCAGTGCATTACAAAAACCACAGTCACGTGACTTGTCAATGACTCCGACGTATTTTAATAAGCTATAGCCAAGAGTGAGCTTCTGACGAATTATCAAGCAGCTGCGAGGTGAAGTGTGATGGTCTGTAGGGGGCAGTGTAGCCAGGAGGTGAACAGCAGGCGCACTGCTTTGACTGTCCTCTCCTCAAATGTATCCACGCACGCGTGGCTTTTACTCTGGGCACTTGGGTCCCCTCCCACGTGTACAACAATAATGGAAATGCATTTGCATCTCTGATTTCTTCCTTGGGCGGATTTATTAATATTCTTTGTTTTTTTTCGGTAAAGTCACGTAGATAACAAATTAAAATAAATAAAAGTAAAATAAAAATAAAATACAAATCACGACGTTTCGGAGGCAACACCAGCTTCCGTCTTCAGGTGGAACCGTCACAGCACGATAGCTGTATCAAGTAAGATAAATTCCAAGAAAACAGTCTTTGTATATATACTGGTTGAGGGTGGGAGGAGCCAAGGTAGGCCCTGAATATTAATTTTGTGAGGTTCGGTGCGGCTGAAGCACGCTGTTAGGAATGAGCCTTTGGTGTGTAAACTTTCGCCTCCGCCCACTCCGACTGGCGAAATGTTTTGTTTCCAATGAATAAAGAGCATGCACAGATGTTTTATTTTTTATTTTGTTTTAATTAATACAGCGCATGCCTTTATTTCAGTTGGGAACTCTTTGTTGGCAGCATGGCTTAGAGGTAAAAGCAGCGAGTCGGCACCGCTGAGACGCTGGCTTAGAACCCCGGGAGGTCACTCTTTGATTACATGCGCATTTTCGAGTGGAGTGAGTTTGATGGTTTTATCCCCGTCGCCAATGAATACACAAGAAAGACACGACATAAAATGTGGCTTTGTAATCAATTTGGCTAATTTCCAGCCCTGACAATCTCATAGTAGAGTGTATTGGAAGGTTTGCTCCTTACTGAATATATTATAAAATGCTCACTTGAACGATTTTTCGGGAAACCTACGATGAAAACATCTTCAGCAGCCTCTCTCTGACACATTTCGTTCTCAAGCTCTGCTGTACTTTATTTCAGAATAGATTTTTTTACATCGTTACATTATTGTGATTGTGCAATCGGTATGAATTAGAAACAATGTTCCAAAAATTAGTGAAGAAAAATAATCCGGCTATGAAAGTCTTGAAAACAATATATATTGTTTGGAACAGAAAAGCTACCGTGGAATTTCGTCCTCGTAACTTGGTCGTGATGCAACACGCCACGTGTTAAATCCTTGAAGATATCTTTGGAGAGAGACATTTACGTTTTCATGAATCGTGCATTTGGTTCTTACTCGCATCGGGTCTTTGTTGGTTTATGTTCCCAGAACTCACAAATTCCGGCAACCCCAGTTCCTTTATGTCGGGATACTGCAATCAAAACACCAACCATGAGCGTGCCACACTCTGTAAACGTGCAGTATTGTATGACGACACGGATATAATACAGTATAAAGCGCTGTGCACCCTTTTGTTTTCCAGATGCGTTTTATAGCACAGCGCCAGTCCCGTAGGAGGTATTGAAGATACACAGTGCACACGTGTGTGCTGTAATACCATTGTCATTAAGCCTTGGCGCACACTCACAGCGGGTTTAAAAGCCACCATGCGCGATTTATGGGAAAATTAAGATGTTGGATTTTGACCCCAATAGCGATAAAGTGCATGTAAACAAAATACGACCCATTATGACTATAAACGAGTGAATTAGCAGTGCTCTTGCTACGAGCCAGCCGAGAGCATCAATCACATGGCAGTCACTAAATGCATGCATTCGGCAAATATATGCATACATGAAGTACGCATCATGCAGTTTTAACAATTTGAATCGCATTGCAGTAGTTGTATTCTCTGCCATCGACCATTCACACTCATGTGCTGCGCATTGAGTAAGGCACCTGACGAAAGTCGTGCGGTCTCGGGTTTTTGTATTTGTCCTTGGGGATTGTCCCATGGGTGGCCACTATGACGCGTTCCTGCAAAGGGCAAATGGGTGGGAAGGTCCTCGCAAAGGGCGGCCGCTGTGGTCGCTCGCTTTGCCAGGGCTTGGGTGGCACGAACTGTGGACCCTTCACTGCCAGAAAGTCCCCCAGCGACCTGGCCCCCTTGCGTGGCACGCTGCCATCTCCTGCATGTTTTCGTCCCAACCCAAGAGAGCTCCTCTCTTGCTTCGGTGCCTGGCGCTTGTGGTGGACGCCTTGAGGCCGGTAGAGACGAGGGCTAAAGTCCAGGGGTTTTATGTCCCAGGGCCCTCTCTGCTCTGGCGGAGGAGGCGGTGGCCGCTTCAGGGCAGCTCGTGTGGCCAGGAGGTTCAGAGCGGCCGAGAAGGTGCCCCTGGTCGCGAAGCCAAAGCTGGGCATGTCACGTGCTGAGCTCCTGCGAGGTCGTTCCAGACGGACGCTCTCGACCTCACTTGTTATGTTTGCGCACATGTTGGTCTGCTTATTTGCTCTACTCTTTCAATGCAATTTCTATTGACGTAATTTCTTCCGATTACCCGTCGCTACTTTCAGTGATTCATCTGAAGCCGATATGGCTTTCTCTCGTCAAAGCTGTAACGACATACATCCGTCATTTCATACACTTACAAAACACTGAATGGAATCGCGACTTGCGATTAATTTGTATTCGTAAATAAAATAAGCACAATTTACGCACCCAATACACGTACTCAACCTCCAATTGTGTCACCAATTGCTTACTTTAAAACACTGTAAAAAATTTACAATGTATAGTGAGCCGGAATGAAGCCCATCAGAAAAGTGTGTTCCTGCACTGATTACATGACAGTATATATATATATATAGTGTCGTTAACCAGCGCACATTAACATGTCTTCGACATTTATAAAGCTGTATTGGGTGCCTCACTTTTTGAATTGTTCACAACTCATTTATATGCTGCTTAAGGGCTATGCGGTTCAACGGAGTGCCGCAAACTTCAATGTTATGCTGCACGATGCTCCAAACACACTCTCCGCCTTCACCACAATCCACACTTACCAGCGTGGCGAAGTATGGTCAAATAAACCCAACGATTCACAACGGCGTGGAGAGCCCCTCATTTAGCAGTAGACTTACAAAAGGGCAGCGCACGCATAAATAATGGGGAGAAATTATTCAGCTATGCATCGCTATAAATACCAACATCTCCGTGTTGGGACGTATTAATATGCATTATCAAAGCCTTACCTTTTAATGTGAATCCGATTTAGTCTTGTGCATTAACGGGACACACACGTCCAAACTCCAGACTGAAGACCCGTTTGCTTAGTCCATTATAGCGCTTTAGCCGCATTATAATAGCGTTGCTAGGGATACGAATGCAAACTTGGGTTGGATTTTTAGAACGCACAATTGTTTCTTTGAAAGTCTGCGGGGTTCGCGGTTCCCATGGAGTCATTCGTGCATTTCTTTTAAAACTATTGTCCGACCACTCTTTAAACATAGCCCAGCATTTGAGGTAACGCAAGTGCCTATACTTGGACGAGGGCGTTTTAGCGCTCACCATTAAACGTGTGCTTTCGTTCTGATATAGAGGCATTTCAAAACATACTCGTAAGTCAAAATACACAGCGTGTCCACGTTAGTTCGAGAAATTTGATGGCAATTCATCTTCCAGTTATCCCACCTCTTTAAAAACTAAATCTATTTTTTTAAACATATTCTTTGTACAAAATGCGATGTTTTGTGTGTGCTAATAGTTCAGGCAAGGTTGATAAGTCCTTATATGACCTCCTGTCCCAGGTACTAACTAAAGTGGCCCCTCGGGATAGAGTCATGCTGTCGGGTGACTTTAATGCCCGAGAGGGTCATGACGCAGGCACATGGGCTGGAGTGATTGGAAGCATGGGCCAGATCAGCTCAGTAACGAGGGTAGGAGACTGCTAGACTTCTACGAAACCCATGGGCTTGTGATCACTAACACGCTGTTCTGGCATTGGCGCATCCACACAACGTCGTGGATGCACGCCGGGTCCAAGCAAGAACATTTGTTCGGCTATATACTGACAGAATATCGGTAACGGACACTGTCCTTGACACCGGGACTTACTGTCAAGCTGATCTGCCCACTAGCCATAAACTTGTTAACTTTAAGATGCGCTTGCCATTCATCCACTACGGTGGTGGGCATCCACCTCGGACTCAATTTTAAACCCACAATAGCATAGTCTCGGCTTACCGATTCAAGTTGCAAGGAACAATTTAATTATCGCTTACAACTGGGGTTGGCATCGTCTTCCCTTCCTCCAAATGCAGAGGGGGGATGAGTGAGGTTCGAGACTGTGGCTCATTCCGCTGTAATGGCTGCATTGGGTACGCGATTCAAACCCTGGCTGACGGAAGAGGTGTTCCAGCTATCTGATGGAGAGTGACAGGCTCACTCCCACCGTTTACAACATCCCAAATTGAAGAATAAGGAGGCTTACCGCAGCCTTTTCGCAGACCTTCGTACAGCCGTGCGGCGCTGCAAGGATGAGTGGTGGTTGTGGATTGCTAAGATGGAAAATGCCTCAGTAGCTCGTGATCACAAATCACTATTTAATTGCATCAAAAAAGTAACTTGCAGCACCATGCCTATTACCATCCTTTAGGGAAAGAACAGTGAAAGCCATCTCCGACCCCCAGGCACAGGTCTGCAGGTTTATTGAGCATTTCTGTGATGTCTTGGGGGAAGGGGAATCCGTCAGCTCAGATAACATCATGGGGCAAGGTGGCGATGACCCTTCTTGGGCTGCCGTCCCTCAAATATTGAAAAAAAAAGACAGCCACCCCCGTGAGTGGCTGGCTGATATGCCATCTGTTGAGAAAGTACGATGAAACATCCATAATCTGAGACGAGGAAAAAACACCGGGCAGTAATGTTCTCCCAAGCGAATTGCCGAGGGAAGATCGTGTCGATTTGCAGACTGTCCTACATGACATAATCATAACTGTCTGGGCCACACAACGTGTCCCACAGGATTGTAAGGATGCCATGGTGGCCCCCCCTCTTTAAGAAGGGTTACTGTACTGATTGTAACAACCAGGGGTATCTCTCTCCTAAGTGTGCCGGGAAAGGTCCTGGCAAGGATTGTTCAACATTGCCTTGCCAGACAAGCTGAGGAGAGGCTTGCAGAGCCCCGATGTGGTTTCACATTGGGGCTATCCTCGCAGATTGTTGAAAGATCTGGACACAGTCCCATCGGTGAGATCCGGCTGACAAAGCTGCGTTGGCTGGGTCACGTAGCCCACATGCCCTGCCACCGCTTTCCTAAAGGGGCCGTCCATAAATTACGTCACGCGATTTTGGACGATTTTTGACCCCCCCCCCCATTCGTCACACGGCGTCACAAAAAGTCAGACCCCCCCTCAAATATGACGTCACAAAGCTTTGCCCCCCCCCCCAAAAAAAATACATGCTTCAAATCGTTTTAAACTATTGTCATTGTAGTGCATATTTAATGTTCCGCTGCACCCTGATGTTGTAGGAGAAAACATTTATTAAAAAGTATATTTAATTAAGTAGAACGTGTTGTCTATATGTATTTAAAGTTGCGCATTTTGATGTGACGTCACATCTCTCAAACCCCCCCCCCCCCCTCGTCACACATCGTCACAAATGTCTGAACCCCCCCCCCCCCAGGTACGTGACGTCATTTATGGACGGCCCCAAGAGTTAATGTATGGCCGGATAGAAGCTCGTGAAGGACGCTCCTGCTCACAACAACGGGCAGAGCGCCAGGCGGGTTAAATGCAGCAAGTTGACACAGTGCAGAGCACAGTTCATGCATCTGCCAGTCATCTCAGTGAAGACATGAAGCATGGGTCTCTCCTACGATCTGCCAGCGAGCGTTTGACACTTCACGTGGCCTCAAAGTGCACCTAACCTGGCACAAGCGTCGTGGTTACGTTACCGCTAATTAGTGGCGAATGGCGGCTCTTGTAAATCGTTTCTCAGTATTATTTTGTTTTTACTTATTATTTTGGAATAATTAACGTATAAATGCAGCACCTTGCGACACACAAATACATGTGTATGCAGGGCAATAACGTAATATTTGCTTAATATGACAGACGGTGAGATGTTATGAGAAAATAATGAACATATTCTTCGGACGATAAAGATGCTCCCGAAAGCAAGACGCACCCATAACTTGTGCCCGGTGGCATTAGTCATACACATCTGGTGATTCATCGGATTAAAATACATCCCCTTATAACCTGGAGAACAGGGTATTATTGCTGCATTCTTAGAATTACAACATCACATTCATCAATACGAATATAAAATAATATCAATAATAATAATGCCACGATCATGTTTACTAAACAAACTGAACAAGACACTGCAAGCGGCAACGCTCAGTTGTGTGTACAGTACCAGCAGAGGGAGCGCGCAACCACAGACCACTGTGGTTTGTTTCAGCACCTGAGTTTTCCCATGTCACATTAACACATGGGTGTGCACTGGAAATAGCAGAGGTGGGACAAAGTCATTGTTATGCAAGTCCAAGTCGAGTCTGAAGTCATCAAATTCATGACTCGAGTCTGACTCGAGTCCAAGTCACATGACTCGAGTCCACACACAATACTATTTCCGAAATAGTATTGTTTGTCTTGGTTCTTTTTGCATAACGCTAGTTGTGAAATATATCACGCCAAATATTTAATGCATGGCTGTAAAAAACAAAAGAAGCGTGTCTTTTTTATTATTTCATTTCATGAATGTTAACTTTCCAAAACGTAACAGTCAGCAAGTTATTTTTGGCACAGACTATTCATCAGCCGTGTTTTTCCTGGCACATCCAGCACAAGTGAACACAGTGCATATTATTTCTCAGACACGGTGCCAAACTCGTGGAGTGAGATTAATTGGTTGCAGCATGCCCTGGCATGGTGTGCTCAAGAAATCATTTCAGAAATATATATATATAAATTTCAGTTAATCAAATCTGGAATGTCTTGGTATGTTGTTTTGAAACTGGTATATACAGAGCATTGGCGCCGTGGATAAAGGTTAACAGATTAAATCGAAAGTTAACAGATTCGTTTTACTTGAACGTCTTTAATAACAAAACAAAGTATTTCCTTTTCCCACACAGCAAATAATATAAAAATGCTCCTACTCGAATGGTATATTTTAAATATACAGTATACTACACATTGTTTAACAGCACTGTATCCGAATTAGCTTTTGCCCCGTGAACTAAGTCAGGCATTAGTTGCAAAGTACTAAATCTGTATTGGCGATGTTTCATCAGTGGTTGTCGAGTGACAACGTGTAATGTGCCAAGTTGTCGCTTAAAACACTTGCATATCGACTTATTTTAACACAATTAAGCCATTTAATGACGATGGGATTTATCTCAGCCAGAGTTGCGGTGTCATAGTTATATTGTTGCAATGATGCTATGAGACTTCAGGCAAAAGAATCCCATCAAGGGCAAACAGAGTGATTATTCCAACTTGCAGAGAAGACATTAATTAAAACGGTGGGCATCGGTGTGCTTTATACAATTATACACTGGAATTGAGATTTCTAAAATTATCTTTCCAATGCTGTGGGTAAGGAGAGTGTCGTTGATCTGTGATGCACTATCGCTCTCTTGCACATTCATTATGCGTCTCGATGAAATGTGTGATTCATGTTTGTTTAGCCAATACTCAGTTCACAAGCATTCGTTCATTAACAGGACACTTTATTTTGCATCAAGAATAGTGTTTCAACGAGTGGAGTTACATCTCAGATTTTCACCCCATGTGTCTGCATTATAGCAGCTGTAAGCCTTCTGTCAATCTTGGTATCTCACTGCCTCAACAGCTATTTCTCAAAATTCATGTTTTAATTGGTCCTACATGTATTTTTCCCAATGCACCCAATGTTTGTACAGCACGGCATAATGGTATATACCCTATGCATGCGTGCAGTTGCATGTTAAGTTATATGGGAAAGTTTCATTAAATTTTTTTTATCATTGGGACGTGTGCCCAATGCTTCGATAGGTAATGTTTTTAATGTGAGGAAACTGAAAAGCCAGAGCAAAAGCTAACACTGGAAGGATCACACAGATAGGTTAATAAAACCATTCTCTGTGCTGCCATCTGCTGGTCACCTGGCAGCCCAGCCAGTTTTGGAGTCTAATAAATCGTCATGACCTATCACCGACTCTTGACTTACAGGCCTGTGCCACCATGGCTGACAATGTATCATATTATAGTCAAGCCTTCAGCGTTAAATGCAAGCACATATATGCATGAAGTTATAACTCGCTATTAAGCTTTAATTACTGATATTCTCATAAAAATTCAAATTACAAAAATACACAATACACAAGCGTTTATTTGTAAACATAGATTTTGAGAAACTATGCTTTAGGCTATAATTAATTTGCACCCATAAAGTACTTTGAAATTCAAGGGTATTAAAAAATGCATCTTCTACCTCCAACCCACCAAGTCCAACCTTTGCATCCTCATCCCGTGAACTTCTAGATCATCCCATTTCCCAAGTATAGCGAGGGATAGGGATTCAACTCTAAAATAATGCACCTATTTTTTAAGGAATGTTTCCAATTAGGTAATTATTAATTCTGAATGTAAATTCCGCACTCTAAGTAAACCACGAAGTTACCTGCACTCAACAGAAAACATTGCCACGGCCAAAATGATCGCTTTGACTTTTCTGCTATGGTGACTTTAGCAGGGTGCTCTATTGACTGCAGTCAATAGAGCACCCTGGAACTCGCATTTGATTGAATCACTCCAAATTACAATTGGCACTCTGTGGACGCTGGATAGAGTGCAGACGCGTGGAGTGAAGGGGGGTGTCCAGGCTTGCATCACAATTTGATTCTTGTGGCGCACTGGAGGCCCGAGAAATGTGGTCGACAGCGACAGATGTTTGGCGCCACACATTTCCCTCCATGCAGGCAACGTTTCCTGCACACAGCTTGGGGGGGGGGGGGGGGGCAGAGGAATTAATGGCAACGGACATCATGTCAACGACAACTAATTACAATTGTCATTTAATTTGCAGATGCTCTAGCAAGTATGTTTGGCTGCCCGTGCAGCGCAAGGAGGCTGGATATTCTTTTTTTTCTCCACCTACCAATGATATTTAAATTGTCTCCTTGGTGTCTGTCATGTGATGAGACGAAGCAATATCCCTTCACTTATCTCGCAGCTAAGAATATAGCAACCCCTTTTTGTTTAGAAACAACCCTTGAAGACAATATCACAGAACTACTTGTGAAACTATTTTAATAGACCTTTTTATTCACAATATGGGAAGATAGTGTCTGTAACGTGTTTATCAAACCGAGAGCTGGATTAAGTGACATTTAGGGGAAAAGATAGCAATATTATGATGGGGCTTTTGCATTTCACTAACTGTGCAGCCGACGCCATAAACGTAGAACACTTTATAACTCAGTTTAACCATGGACAGCTGCCCAGTCACCTTTGCAACCTTCTATACTAAGTTCTTATGATATTACCTGTACATAATTCGCACTAATGGCTGCGTTTCAGGACATCTGAGATGGTCAATATTATCTCTATTCATCGTTGTCCTTTGTTCCACTAACCCACAAAGCGTTTGTGAAGGATTGTCACCCTATCATCCAACTCCCTCCCCCTTTGAAAGTGTATTTTTGTAAATTGTTTTTATTTTATATATATACTTACTTACTCACTCTTCGCTCCCTGTGGAGCATAAGGCCGCAACAAGGCCACGCCATGCCGGACGGTTATATATATATAAATGGTGTGAATTCGAAAGAAAAATTCTGACATTCGGCAATATACACCATGATTGTATGTACGCACACACAACTGTTTAACATGTTTAAATTTTTAAATAATTGAGCTCATATTTACTGTCATCCCTTAGTCTTGTTAATTAGTAAAAGTAATGCATACATCTAACCTTCACTTTAACTGAGTCCGATGTGACCTTTTCAGAATTTCAAACATTTTGGCCACATCTTAAAAGTCATATGCTGTGTATTTATCATAATGCACACAATGCTTATTCGTATACAACCAAAATATAGTCAAATGGCAGACTATGTAACGTAGATTTCTATGGAGAAAACGTTATTAAAGTACTATATATTATTGGAATTTGATAGCATTTTTTCTCACTGGATATGAAAGCATTCATTTATGGAGGCTCTTGTATGCTAGGAAGACACGCGTAGTCTGATTATAGTTTAAGTAATAATGAAATGATTAAAATCTCGCCAGACATTTTTGACACATGTAAGACACCGACCATTTCAGGTTTTTTTTTTTTATCCATGTGCAAACATTCCTTGAGCAGGCATATGGTTAATGTACAACTTCACTTTGGCAAGTAGAGAGTTATGTTACGATTGATGGAAAGCCCTAAATGAAAGCAGACATTCATATTTCCCTAATATCAACTCTCACTCTAAAATTTGCAATCAAGGAAGCTTTTTTCATGCAACAAATTTATATTGCCAGAGAAGGCATGAAAGAAATGTTTAACTTGAAATGGATCCATCTGCCACCAATGACCCAACCCCAAGTAGAGCACGTACATAAATGTTTCATTGCAGATTTTAGCAACATAGTCGACACATATCATTGTGCATAACGCTTGTGGTGAGATAAATACCATACGTAGAACAGGGGATTTTCATTATGCTAGCATGAAAAATTGCCTTTGCTTCACAGAATGTTTCCTTGTGAATTAAGAAGTGTGTAATGTGATATTTGGCGTTCTTAAACCAAACTACTATTTCCAGTTCAATCTATTAAACCAAAATAAGGGCAAAGTTATAACTAAAACTGTCCTAGCTAAACTTTTAAAATAAAAACATGTTTACATTATCAGCATATTACCAAACTAATGTGCAAAATCTGCAGCGAAACGTGTGCAAAGGAACAATTATTGCCCTACTATTTTTCACGGCAACAATTTATTCCACGACAAAATTACGATCCTGGGGTGCAAACACTGGAACATTGCGCTATAAACCCATTCACAAAAGGCTGAAAACTATTAGTATTATTATTATTAAACGTATGATGATCGTCTCAAAAACATTGTCCCCATTACACAGCCAAACTACAATATTTATTTTATGAATGCCTTCGTTATGATTCGAATTGTCAAAGGTTATAATTGTATGATGTTTTCTTCCATGCATTGCGTATAGCTGCGACATGTTAACGGGGAGCCCCTTTGTGTGCCTGGACAATATCGAGAGGCTCCACCCAGCAACTCACCACACCCTACACATTCGAGTTCAAAACACAAACATGACGTAATTCGTACATATTTAATAATGGATCTTCAACATTGTTCCGTCAAAAGATGTCCACTAAATATGATCTTCAAAAGCCATGGATGTATACAGGGTGCTATCGTTTTGAATGGAAAAAGAACGGATACCACACTAACATGATAACAAATGTATGTTAATAGCTTCAAAAAGTCAAAGAGTCTCCACTTGTACCCCTTCATTGTCAATACATGCCGGAGGCACATTTATTGTGTTATTGTTGCAAATTTTCACGAATGTTAAAAAATGTTTGAAGCACCCTGTACATATATTAATGTTTTATTGGCAAGCAGGAAAACTTACCAATATGACATGCCCCACCCTCCCAGCCTGTAGGGCAGCTGCAGATGCCCGGAGAAACACAGCTCCCTCTGTTAAGGCAACCCTGGGGGCACACGGCTGCACGGGAGAGGAAATGTGGAAATGTAAACAACAATGTGCCTCATTCAAGGCCTTGCATGGATGTATACTTTACTATTTCAAACGCCGTCGTGAATTCATACTTAGCTTTTGCACATGTCTGTTTTTTTAGTTTTTAATTCAGTTCCATTTTTCCAATGAAATGCAAACTAATGGCCATGTGATGTTCCATAATGACGTGATACTTGATCTGAAGTGTGGTTTGCATACACATTTGAAAAACAACACGACACAAATGTGCCCTGCATTCATTGAGAATTCACTAAACCAAAAATTGCAAATAACGATTGGGAGCCTTTGCAAATCACAGCACATGTTTCGTGTTTGATAACTCAATTGGTGCTGAAAAGTGAACTCGTAAATCAGCAATTCAAAAAATCCTTAAAGGCAGTCAAATAAAAACAGCACTGTACTATCGACGATATGAGAGTTGTACTGAATAAGCCGACGGATATGGCTGAACTATGTTTTAATTTTAGCACTTCCAGTATTTAATTTTTAACGATTGAAATGTATGTTTGATGTAATAGTTTGCTAAACGACCTTATCAGTATGAATTACTACAACATGATATATATTTGATGGTAGAGATATCTTTCATCAAGAGTTAGTTGTTTTTTTCTCACTGGAGCTTTTCTCAGATAAAATATACTAAACGTAATAGAATTTGAATGTTATGGCTGTGTTTGTATTTAAAACGTGCACATTGCATTGAGCAGGTGACTGAAAACAAAATATAACATTTCTGCCTTTTTAATTAAGGGTTTTTATCCTATCTAGACACCAGAATAAATTTGGGGAAAATATGTACATGTGCATGATATTTTTTAAATGTTAGACTAAACTAAAAATTAAGAGGACGTGGGATAAAACCTGCAATGACAACATGCCATTTAAAAGCTTTCCTTGCCTTTGTGATGTGAAGTTTGCCACCTATAATTGTATGCCTCCCATACTTGCTGAGAATAAATTATAGTGTGGCTTTTCTCGAAGAGTGCCAAGCAATTAACAGTGCACATCATCAGTGTCCTGCATCGGTGTTTATTGTTGCGGTATGCATATGTGGTGTGACATGTATTACTGCGAGTCCTTACCATCTATAATAAAGATTTCTGTAATAAGCAGATGTATGCATTGTTTTAGCCAATATTGGACCACAAATATCTGATCACATGATTCAGTAAACTGTTGGTATATTTGTATGTTCTTACATTGTTGGCTACGTTCATGTATAGGTTGTGTATGATGTATTGTAATGGCAAATGTATTTTTAAGTTTGTTAAGTTAATTACATGTATATTTACAAGTAAAAATCCGTCGCTAGAAAGTCAACAACTGGTTACGTTACAATGACAGCCATGGATTAGTATTACATCACATTTTCATTCGTATTTTTTCACATTTAGATTCTAATACATGAACGAGTATCCAGACGTGACCAGTCACAGCACACATCTATGGATCATTCCACACCAAATCAATAATTATTAATCAAACGCATATGAGATGAAACCTGAATTGAATGACATTTCGTGGACAGCTTTGTGTTTGAAAAAGAAGGCTACCACCCAAAATATACACCAATCGGACCTTCCGTTTTTCTCAGACAAAGGTCATCGGAGTTTGACCTGAACATTGCCACTTGGCCACCTTCCAGGCATTTTAACTTCCCCATGGCTATCGTCAAAAGGAGAGTCTGGTGTCATTTTAAGGCTTTTGAGAATTGCCTTTTTTTTGGAACTAAGGACATTTTTTGACCTTGACATTGCCCAAATGGTGTAACTTCTGATTTTCTTCAATATATCACAATGTATCACACGTACTTGAACAGAATCCTTGTAAAGTTTGAAAGTGCGCACTTAAATACTTTAGGGTTATGATAATTGCTGATAAACGCAGTGTAGGGTGGAAAGGGACAATTTCAGCCTGATGGCACAGATTGCATAACTTGCACTTTCACCGCTCGTAGCAGGAACTCAACTTGAGTCAGTGGTTTTTACCTTCTTGGCATCGTGGACCAGCCCATCCGGACACGCAGGAGCACTTCACACTCGAGTGGACAGGCACACACTGCCCTCCGTTCAGGCAGCCCCCCTCGCACACCGCTGACAAGGAGGGGAAAAAGAGATAACACTTGTCAGCAAGACGTGAACGTGGATGTGCACAGCTGACATTAAATTACAATGATGTGCCCAAATACCAGTGTGCATGACCAGGGCCAGATTCCATTTGAGCGGGGACCCAGGGCTGTTATAGTTTTGGCAGGGGGAGCCTCTTTGGATATTCAATGCATTGCCTTGTCTGTTTCACCACCACCATCCATGCCCTATGCCAAACACTCCCCTTGTTAATCACCTTGCCTATGTGAGTTCGGGTTTTTAATAAGAATGTCACACAGTGTATGACTTATAAAGCCAAATCAAAGTCAACATTAATAAAAAAAAAGATTTTTATTTCGGCACATAACTGGTAGTAATGCACATCGTGATGTTATCACTTTAATTACCAACTCATCAATATGACTTATTATAGCGCTTAATTTTTTTACTTTAACCATTATAATTCGTTTTTGGGGAGCACCTCAAAATTTGAGGCTCCACGCTGCACCCTCTAGAGCTTCTGCATTAAACGGATCCTCAATATGACCCGTGTAGTCTGAAATCATCGTTCATGGCACCGTGGTAGCACAGCGTCAACTCCATCGCCTGGTATGAAGGAGGCGTGAGTACGATCCCGACTCTGGCGCCTGCTGTATATTTGGAGTCTGCATGTGGTCGCGTGGATTTTTTTTCTTCGGGTTTCTCCGGTTTTTCCCTACACATTTTGGAATCAACGTGCGTTTCGAGTATTTGGCTGCAATAAATTTCCACGTGATGATAAGCTGCCTTCGTTGAGCTATCATTTGTCGCCATGGTCGTTTCTGAAAAATAGTTACATAGCTAAGTGGGCCTTACCTGGTCAAATAAAAAATAAAAACAGTTAAAGAAGAGTACCTTTGTGGCAGTAACGTCCACCAAATCCCGGCTGACATCGGCACTTTCCCGGGCGAAGGCACTCGCCTTCATTCTTGCACTTGGGATAACATTGTGCTGCACTCACAATACAACATGCAATAATAACAACAACAATATCAATAATAAAGGTAATTAAGAATTCATAATAACAATAAGAGCGATATTAAAATAATCCATTCAGATCAGCATGCCGGACTTAAGCAGGCAAAGCGTCGCCTAGAAAGAGCCATTGACAAAACAGCCAATAATGTACAATGCAATAGAGCAATAGTATAACAAAAATTAGACACCCGTTAAAAGTAAGGGTTTTTTTTCGTGTTATGTTGCACATGTTATACTATTCTGTATTATATGCCAACATGTGTGCTAAACTACACTTTCACTCCGTAAATTGTATGCCGAATTGCTGCTGAATAGTATTTTTAATCGCAAGACAAATACGTGGTCAGGATTCTATTAAATTAAAATGAATTCGCCATGACGTCACTGACTGCACCTTGAACATGTAGAAGATTTTGGGAAGCACACAGTATGGCAGTTTACTGGCACTGCAATAAAAAAACACTAGTGGTCATAACTCGGGTGTAAGTCGTAAGTTGAAGCAACAGTGTGGGAACAAAACAAGCATGGACTCTTGCTAGATATGCACTTTATTGTTATAGTAACACGTTCACATCGGCAAAATATAACCACAAGGGTGTGTCGATTTGCCTTGCCTCGCTATTCAATGAATTGTGATTAAATGTTCGTGTTAATCTATGCTGTTAGATTGTAGTGAATGTAGCGGAGTTGCCCGGCCTCATTACATGCAACATTATTCAAATAAAAAAACAGCGATTCTTATACGCGAGATTTTGAAAAGTTAACGTATCATCAGGTTAAAAATAAAAAGTCATTCAGGATTCCGATATATATATTCTGTACGTGCAGTCTACACACAGGCATTACATACGTAGACTGTAGCCTAATGCTTTACACAAATGAGCAGATATGAGGTGGGACATGTGTATTGTGTGTTATGCGCCGAATTTAATTCATGACCGCACAAATGCAAACGTCTTTAAATTAGACTCTTTTAATGACAGAAACTGGCACGCGTGATCGATCCATACAATTAAAAAGGCTGCTTGCTGATCGCTAGTTGTCTATTTTTGTAATGTTAATAATTAATTACATGTCTGAAGGAAAGTTGGAAGAAATTAAAGAGGAAATTAAAGGCATCCTGGGTCTGACTGTTTAGACTTCTTAATCGACGTTCAAGTCGTCAATTGTAATTACACAAACACGTGTCAGCCTGCTCTTAGTCACTCCACTGCTGGATGAAGACCTCAGCACACCGTGTTGGTCATGGGGGTAGGGAGTAGGAATTGTATGATCATCCTTCAACCACACTGATCAACGAGCTGTTTGTGAAGGGATGTTCAGACGACTACTTTCATTGTATTCCACTCGCCACTTCTGTTCGAGCTGTGGCCGAGAAACAAAGTCATATCGCAGAGTTTACAACGCGATAACCACTGCGGCACCCCTCATTGCGAATAACAACAATGCATGCTGAGTGTCTTCATTCGTATACTCTCGCAATTTAATCCAGACATGGTTTAAAATGGTCATTTAAAGTTAAATTGTAAAAACTAAAATTACCAATTTTTTTTACCAGGTAAGGCGACCTCGCCACAAATGATAGCTCAACAAAGTGGCTAATCACGTGGAACTGTAAAGCAGCCAAATACTCGAAATTACTCGAAACGCGTGTTTATAAATGTGGAGGGGAAAAAAAACCGGAGGACCCGGGTAAAAATCCACGTGACCACGTGGAGAGAGACAGGGTCGGCATCGAACCCACGACCTCCTGTATACCAGACGAGTTAGTTAGGGCTAATGTAAAGTTTGCATAAGTTCAGCTTCCCAAGCAGTTAGACATGCATCAATGCGCATGCAGCTCACGGGAGTGATCCATGCAATCTGTAGAGGAGGCCGACTCGTTTCAGAAAGTCATCTCCTCTCGGTCAGCGCGTCTCGTCTGACAGTCAAAATACCGAACTGGCAGCGCTCGCCCTCGTATCCCTTGCCGCAGAAGCAGGTGTCGTTGCGGATGCACAGCCCGTAGTGCCGACACGGTGGCTCGCACTTTGCCCTGGGATCAAACACAAAGGGGACACTCACGCCCCGCACGGCCTGGGAGGAGCCCTCCCGAGCTGCAGATGTCCCCACCGCCAAGAGCACGGGCAGGAGGAGGATGAGCGTGATGATGAGATTATGACAACGACGATGATGATGATGACGGTGGTGAGAGAAGACGAAGGCGCCCAGAGGAGCGCCCTGAAGGTGGGGCAGTGAAGAGGAATGCATGCTGATGCCGGCGTGCGGGCAGCTGGGTTTATTGTATTGTATGTGGCTCTGCGCGAACGCGTTGCAAGAGAGACCCACTGACGTGGTGCATAAGAGGGAGGAGAATGCATAGGGATGGGGTTGCATGCGAGGGTGGTGTTGCCTGATTGGGCGGAGATGTTTATTGATAGACCCTTACCATTGACAGAATAATTTCGAGTTTTAGATTTTAGGGCATGGAAGATCAACGAGCATCACCATCGGCCATGATCAACCCACTGCTGGATTATGGACTCGGGCAGCCATCGTCATCTCTCATGGTCACGTGACGCAACAACGCACTCAGCACCGACACAAGAGACGATTTCATTACTCCATCTCCGCAGTGGAAATACTCGCAGGTGGATTCCCTTCTTTGGCTGCCACTCAGTAGATTCTGCATCTTGCGCAACCCACTCAAATTATTTTACAGTCTCTAATCCATGTCGTTATCTTAATGGCTCTCATTGTAATCCCAAGCGTATATCTCTGCATGCTTGTGTTTTTAGCCAATTATTCAGTCCCCTTTAATGAACGGGGGACGCTCTGGACATTGTATCTCCCAAAGGCAGGAAACCACCTATGAGCCACACCCAGTGTGACACTGTTGATGCTGATTACATCACAAATCACCGTCAATCACCTCCAATCCAGTGGCACAAATAGTTGAGGCTTATTATTATTTTTCAATAACAACTCGTATCGGGTTATCCAATTCGTCGATTTATCGAACTGATGATAGTTGGTGAAGCAAAGGGAGCCATAACTGGTTCTGATATCATTCGCCACCGATAATAACCGCGGCTGTGAATAAAGCTCATGCAGCTGGGATCGTTAACCACTGGACCACAGAAGAAACAAAACAAGCACATTTTGGCCAATTGAACAAAATAACTAAGTTTTGAATATTCTTCGGGTCCTTCGGTAAAGTCACGTAGATAGGTTCAAATAAAATAACTAAAAATAAGAAAAAAATATGACGTTTCGATCACAACACAAGCGATCATCATTCATCGTTTATCCTCCTGATGACGATCGCTTGTGTTGTGATCGAAACGTCGTAGTTTTTTCTTATTTTTTTGTTATTTTCTTAGAACCTATCTACGTGACTTTACCGAAAGACCTATTGAATATGAATTCCTGCAGTCACGAAAGCTTGAAGTCAAGATTTGAGTTTTGAATGCTTTTCTGGACGGTAATGATGCTAAAATTACCAACGTAACATTTAACACAAAATAAATATGCACTTTAAATGAAAACAATAAAGTGAGCCAGCGCTTCTCAGAGGGCTGGAATAGAATTAAAAGTTTACATTTAGGCATAATTCCAAAATATGCATTGCCATAACCCAATGGTACACCTACTTTTGCATTGCTAACAAGGCCGTAGCCATGGAGTCAACATTGGGGGGGACCAAATCTTCCAGGGGGCCTGAAGGTCCCGCCCCAGAAAAAAAAATCTAAATTTGAAAACGAACTTCGTGCCATTTCCTGCCTAAAAAAATTAAAAAATTCACTAACACATAGGATGGACTTTTTTTACAATAATGTCTAATAGTGTATTGTATTACATTGCTCTGTTTTTTCTTTTTTACATTTCCTTGTTTCATTGTATGTAATGGCAGAGATTAGGGATTAATAAAGTACAACCATAGCCACAATCATATAAACAGAAATCTATTTTATAGCAATATATTGGGGGGGACATTTTGAGCATATTTGAATATTAGGGGGGATGTGTCCCCCCCAATATATATTATAATTACGGCCTTGATTGCTAAAATGCATAAAACCTTACTGCACATAAAACAAATCTCACCCAGTTGTTGTAAGATTTTTCTCCTCTTTCTGTACTTCTCGGTCTCTCTGCCCTACACACGCAATGCGGTCTTTATACTTCAATACCTCTCAATCACCCTTTTATCTAATTCCCCAGAATGTAATTGCAAAACAGCTGCACATGTGAGCTCCATGTTCAGTGAATTACAAAGAAACAGCCAAACACATAATACTGTAAGAGAGAGAGAGACCTTATGGGCTATTTTCCTCCTGAATGGGATGTATCCACCAAAACTACGTGCATTGAAAATAGGATACACAGGCACAATTCACCTTGTTGGAGATGCCTGATTTGAACAGACACACATATATATAAATCTGTGTTTGGCTGTCTACACAAACTATAGGTATTCTAGAACCAGACAGTTCTTGGAATAGTTTTAAATGTTTTCCAGTAAATAAACAAAAGCATGGGACGTGACTTATTTAGCATGCATTCACAGTTCAAAGGTTTGGGCAGTCCTCACTAAATGGAGTGCCAAAATAGATCAGCCTGGGTATAAATGGCGTATTACATCATCTCAAATACCACTATAGATTAATTCATCTCGTCAAGTTACCACATAGGTCCAGTCAAATACCCCCTTGATTCCATGCCCAGGAAAATCTATAAAACATGTGATATATATGTAAACCGTAATTTTTCTCTTTCAATCCAACACAATGCCCTTCTATGTATGTGCATTTAAGAGCACATGCTTTGGAGGTATACCATTACATCTACAATGGGCATGATCACACTTGTACTACTGCTCGAAAATAAATCGAGTGGTAGTACGAGTGTGACATGCTCTCTGTGCAAATGTCAAATAGTTAATTTCATGGCACATTTGGTTCATGGATTTTTTTAACAGAAAATTTTGGATTTAACTTATTCTCAAATACGTATTGCATAGACTTCCAATGGCACCTTCCTTATGCTTAAGAATTGTGTAAAACTCCCCAGAAGCCAGAAAACTGAAAACAGTAAAAATGTTCGCTCTACAAAGCCCATACTCACTCGACCTTTGCGTTACCTCTGTTCACATGGCCACTTCACATTTTACAAAGCCCAGTATATCACATATCGGCATGGCTCGTCACTAGGGCCGCATCATTTGAACGCCGTTTCAAATTATTATTATTTCTATATGTATATCCAGAAAATGTGTCACCTTCTCGCTGGTGGAGTGCCTTAATGAGGCGGCGCCTGAGTCAGAGAGGTGGTTTCCCGGATGGCACCCCCCCTCCTCCCTTTCAAAAACACCAAGAGTCTGCACGTGCAGACATGCTCACGGAAGTGCGGTGCGCTCTTATTATTTTCGTCCATTTGTTTCCCCCTGCCTTGGCCCATGGCACGATGCAACGCGTGAATTCCTTGTGGAGAGTAGCTGCTGAGGGACAGGCAGGCGAGAGCCAACAATTTGAGTAATTGCGCACGAGGGCAGTGCCCGCCGTCGTCTCAGTGACGGCCCCCTGCAGCTAAAGTGTCGATAGGTCTCCCCTGGAAACCAAAATTGTCCATTAATTGGCGACAGCTTTTTGGTCCTCAGACTCTCGCCCACTAAGGCTGCAAGGATGAAGGAATCGGGAAGCAAGGTGCAGGTGTGCTGTGACCATTGTGACAGCAGTGACCACGCAAAAAAATAGAAAACGTCAGGCTTTTTTGTTTTGCGCCACACAATTAGCTGATGAGGAAATTCTTCCTTCCCGTGGCCTGAGCCGAGAGGTAAGCTGGTCAGACTCATTGCACGTCATATTGACTGCCGCTGTGGAGAACACGGGTGCAGACTGGCTCGGTTGAGAAACAGTAGACGTGGGTGAGAGGGACCCCTCATCCCACCGCGTTCCAGCAATGAAGGAGTTCATAATTAACGTTTTAGGGTTCAGATCGCGTTATTCTGGCGAATTGCCCGATGATGCTGGATGCAATTACCAGCGAAACGTCGTTCTCAAATTGTAAATGTTGTGGCTTCAACACACCGGTGGGCTAAAGCAGTGAACTATTTGTCTTTGTCAACGTGACACATTTTTACTGATTGGCCGTGTCGGGTGGTGGAGGGTTACGACACATTTATAAATAACGCGATCTGAACCCAAAAACGTTGATTATGAATAACATTGGTCGCGAAAGCCTACGTGTTAAAAATGAAGGAGTTGTCCGGATCGGCGGTGGATCCGGTCACCCAGCAGTGAGCACAAAAAGTGACGAAATTGCTCCTGGTTCAGAGACAGACGGGAGCTTGAGTCACAATGGCGATGGGTTGGGGAGGCTCTCATCCAGCAAATATGCCGATGTTGTTGATGATGACGATGAAGTGTCACTGAGGGATGTGTCGGAGGGAGCCACATAAGCAGAAGCAGTAAACACAAGCAGTCATGAATTACAGCATGCTGGGCAGTGTAGAGTATTCAAATAGTAAGGAACATGGCAATGTATGTCTATGCAAACCATGTTTTAAGGTAAGTGTAATACTTAGCTTTCTGTCCATACTGTCAGGTAAAAAAAACCCAAGGGTATGATGGAAATAACCGTTTCAAATATGTACACAACATGTCATTCATAAAGGCCACGAGACTTATTTGAAATGGGGTTTTATATGTTCACGGTAAGGTTAACATTATACCTCATATGTAGAACCACTGTATATAGATGTTTACAATTTCACTAGCGTGCCACAGAATCAAGCGTTGGTAGTCAAGTTAACACTGGAAATGCACTAAAGCTCCACTTCACACGTTCAAACTTGATTTGAAGCTTTCGTGACTGCAGGAATTACTCTTCGGTTCTTTCCGTAAAGTCATGTAGAATAGAAAATAAATTAAATAATAAAATACGACGTTTCGATTGCAACACAAGCAATGGTCATCAGGTAGAAAACAAACCTAGTGAACTTAGAAATACAATGCAATACAACACAGAGAGTCGGCTAACACAACAGTCACACAGAGTTGTGTGTCTATGTTGTGTGTCTCTCTCTGTGTGTCTCTGTGTTGTCTCTCACTGCTTGTGTGTCTGTCTGTGTGTTTCCGTGTCTGTGTTTTGTCTCTCTCTCAAATGTATCAATCTTTGGAAGAACGTAATCAACCAGGTAGGGTGCTGACCGTTGTGTTAGCCAACCCTCTGTGTCGTATTGCATTGTATTTCTAAGTTCACTAGGTTTGTTTTCTACCCGATAACCATTGCTTGTGTTGCAATCGAAACGTCGTATTCTAGTATTCATTAAATTGTATTC